CCTAGGCTGCAATAGAGGGAATGCTACCTTTCTGCCACTAGTGGAACAAGTGGGTGGACTGGGGTAAAATACCTCTCCTGTATATATGATTTTACTGGAAAACAGAAACACATGAATTGGAAGTGAAACCTTGCAAATGCTGATCTCTATACCTATCTGCCAAAGTGGAAAATACCTTAAGAACCAAGGATCTAGAATGACCTTTTTAAATTATTATCTAAACCATAAAATTATAAGTCAGCTGTTTCCTGGGGGGAAAGATCTTATTGATAGTTAGAAAAATTAACTTTCTTTTCTCTAATTTTTTTCAACTCATTGGTGTGTTTTTAATTAATAGTAAGATGAATAGATGTTTAGTCTCTTTTCCAATTTGTGCTTATAAGAGCTCATTTTTTGAATTTGCTACAGGAGAACATTCATTTTTATGCTAATCCTTCATATCTTTTAGGTCTTTCTAAAATATAACATTCCATTAATCTGGACTTAATAAAGAATTTGGGTTAGGCTTGTCTGAGTTTGACTGTAATTTACTGTTGGATTTCAGAAAATATGGTAAAAAAAAGATTTTCTAAGAGGTAAGACTTTGTATTATTATTATTTAGACTGTGAGGGGACAATGCAGGAAATGTCTATTTCTACTTATCAGAATAACCACTCAATAAATATTAATTGAGCAGTTACAATGTATCCCATTCTAGGAGCAAGTGATGTATCAGTGAACAAAACAAAAATTCTTGCCCATATTGAGTTAACATTTCTAGTCTGAATGAATGAGTTTACTATTGACATATGCACAACAGCTAAAAAATTAGTCTTACTTGTATTTTTTTAGTTTTTTTCCCCCAGGAAGGTCTTACTTTTAGAGCATATCTGACATCTCTTTCTAGATTTTCATCTGTCTAAAATTACTGTCACTTGAAAATAATGTAAGTAAAATTGTTTATAATATCCTGTAAATGATCTTTTTTAATGGCCTTATATTAATCTACTCACCCAAATCAAGTTTGATGTAAGAACAAATCACAGCCTAGGATGTCAGCTTTGAGTGTCAGCATAATACTCTGCCTTTTTCTTGTTGTTTTTAAGCATTTCCTATTTGCAAGTCATTTTTTATAGTTTGTGTTCTCATAAACTTTGGAACATCCAGTATAGTATTACTTATCTTCATTTCCCAAGTTATGTAAGGAAACATAGGGCTTAGTCACAGGAACTTTTCCAAGATCATAAAGCTAGAAATTATGGCAGATACTGTTAAATGACAGTACTGGATTCTATCAACATTGCTCTTCTCTTAGGTTCCCATCCAGAGTAGACAGACATGTAACCCAAGTTCCAGTCAATGAGATGCAAATGGAAGGCCATGGGAGGATGTTTCTTTTCCTTCACTACTTTTCCTGTCTGGGACTTGGATGAGAAGCCTAGAGGTGCAGCTTCTGAGGATTAAGGCTGACACACTAAAGCTTATAGAAGAGAAAGGTAGAAAAACTTTTGAGATGTCAGTGAGTAATCATGCCAACTCTGTAATTCTTACCACTATGGCTTGATATAAATAAAGCCCCATCTGTTTAAGTCACTGCACTTTGGTTTTCTGATATTTGCACCATAAAAGACATCCAACTGATAAATCTCAGAACTGGAAATCAAAAGTAAAACTCAAAAACCCCCGTTTTTTCCAATGGATAGTTCTGAAAGCATGCTTTTTTAATAAGTGTATTCTTAACACTTTCAAGGTGACTTTTTGAGTACTGAGAACAATCTCAATACTCATAACTGCTACAGATATTTCTCACTTTATAAGCTAGATAGATTTCTTAAAAGAAGCCATTTGTAAATAACTTAAACATTTGTAACTGAACACATTGATGGATTTTAAAAGAAATCTATAGTTAATATTTGGAGAACATTTTTTATGATACTAAATAGGAAATCAGGTGGTGGTTGGCAAGTTTTTGTTCAACAAATACATCTTTTCAAATTGTGGTATGTCTGTTCTAAATTTACAATGCAATTTTATTGTCAGGAACCTGAGAAGGCAAATAAGTAGGACCTGAAAGAATTAACTCATACCCACTAGGTTAACCAATAAGATAATAATAAGTGTTGGAAAGAATTTGGAGAATTTAGAATCTTCATATACACCTAGTGGGAATATAAAATGGTGCAGTTGTTTTAGAAAACAGTATGGCAGTTCCTCAAAAGTTTGAATAGAATTAATGTATGACCAACCAATTCTCTTCCAAAGTATATACCCAAGAGAAATGAAAACCTGTGTCTACCCAAAATCTTGCACATGAATATCTCAGAAGCATTACTCATAATAGCCAAAAAGAGGGAACAACCCAAGTGTCCATCAACTAATTAATGGATAAAGTAAATGTGATATATTCATATAATGGAACATTATTTGGCCATAAAAAAGGAATGAAGTACTTATATATGCTAGACTACAGATGAAGAGCCTTGAAATACTTGTGCTAAGTGAAAGAGCCAGTTACAAAAGACCACATGTTGTATGATTCCTCTTATATGAAGTGTCCAGAGTAGGCAAATCCCCAGAGGATGCCTCCAGATGAGAAAGTTGAGGGAAATGGAATGACTACTAATGGATACACTGTTTCCTTTTGGCATGAGAAAATATTCTAAAATTGTGATGATGGTTGCATAACTCTGTAAATATACTAAAGCCATTGAATGCTATACTTTAAATAAGGTGTATTGTACAGTTTGTGAATTATACTCTATAAAGCTGTTATATTAAACAAAAAATAACCAACCAGAAAAGATCAGTGGGCCCATGAGGTAGTAAAAGTTCCAGGAAATAGCAAAAATCCTTAAGGCTCTATACTTTCTCTGTCAATCTGGCACTATCTAGCTTTTCTGTGAACTTGCACTATGAAGGCTACTCCCATACTGCCTTCATTTTCAAATTCCTAAAGCTGACTTTACAAAGGAGATTCTTAAGTTTTCTTGTCCTCTTTTCATCTTTAAAGGACTACTTTGCCTTAGAGGCAAAAGGTAGAGGTTAAACCTCATGCCTGTGTTAGAACCCTGGCTCTCTTACCATCTTAGCTAAGGGACTTGGGAGAGATAATATGAGCACTGTAAAATGGGGACAGTAATAATAGTTCACAAAGTGAAGCTGAGGATTGAAGATGTAGTATGGAGTGCACCTGACAATACAACCTATGCCTAATCTCAGTGTTTCCATCATCTTTTTGATCCTGACCTTGCCTCTGTTTAACCCCTGCTTAGAATGAAAGGTGTGAGCTTCTTGCCCATGGCATGTAGCTGGTAACTGTTGGCTTAGCAGTGTATTAATAAAATCTGTCCAGGTTTTACACAGAATTTCTTGAATGAAGAGGTGTTACTTTTCATGTTTCACTTAATTAAAATTATTCTGAGTATGCCGCAAGTGGAGAAAGAGAGCAAAATTGGAAGATTATTCTCCTCTACTGTGATGAGACCTGGTTATTGTCTTTCAAACATGCCCTGTGATCTGGTTTCCACAGAAAACGTCACAGAAAATACTAAATTGTGAAGAAGGCAGTCAGCCCATCCCAAGTTCAAATACTGCTTCTCCCTTCTCTTAGCTATGTGACCCTGGAAGCATCCCCTAACCCCACTGAGCCTCAAACAGTTTGTTTACAAAAATCAGAAAAATAATCATATGTACCTCACAAGGCTGGTGAAGGACTAAATGAGTAGCACATATAAAGCTTTTGGCTAAATGTTTGGCAAATAGTAAGGGTCCCATAAATGCTTTTTAAAAAATGAATAGTTTGGGAAACTTTTTTGAGAGTTACAAACAGAAAAAAGTATACTTCAAATACTCATTGAAGGCATTCTTTAAAAAAAAATAAGCACTGGGTGTCATATATATGTTATATATTAGCAAATCAAACTTCCATAAAAGTATATAAAATAAAAATTAAAAAATTAAAAATAAATAAATAAACTAACCTAAATGGGAAACATGGGTGGGTGACCAACTTAGTCCAGTTTGCTCATACCTTTTTTTTAATTGTTTTATTTCCATCTTTAATACTAACAGAGGATTTCAAAACAGACCAACAGATGTGGATATAGTTTAAATGTAACAAAGAAAGAATTCAGCTATGGACACTAGAGGGAAAGGGATTTTTTCATATCAACTTTTTCCTATTTTGCAGTTTCTAAATTCGTATACACGTTTTCCCAATTTAATTTAGTACAATGTAGTACAACTTTTATGATCAACCATTTGTCCATAAGCATAAAACTTTAGAGATTTTGGTTGCATGGTCATCTTGGCTCCTGAAGTCTTATTATTTATTGTAAGAATGTAATGAAAGAGTATTTCCTCAAAGTCCTCCTAGACACCAGGTAGAAAATTATCACTTTCACTCAGTTATTACTTTCAGTTTTAAATTTGAAAGTCCTGTGTCCTGGTAACTTAGTCTCAAACAAACTACGAAAGATGGTCAGCCTGTACAGACATCAAATTTAAGATTTGGAGAACATTATTAGCAACTAACAGCTTCCATGAATTTAATGCTAATGGTGGACCTGGCACTGTGCTACATGCTTTAAAAGCCAAATTTGACTTAAATAATTAGAATGAACCTGTGCATTAGGTTCTATTCTTATACCCGTTTTAAAGACAAAATAAAGGTAATTTGGAGAGGTTGACCAAGTTGCCTAAACCCTAGAAAGAGGATAGAGCTGGGATTAAAACAAAGGTCCTTTTAAAACTGTTGTGTGTTATATTACCATTAGGTCCCTGCCCCCAGGTACATACCAATGAATTAAAGGGCAGAAAGTTTATAGAACACATTGTCCCAGAAAGTGAAAATATTAATGGCCCAAAAAAGGTTTGGGTGGCTTCACTGACGATAATTAGGGAATTGGGGATAATCAGTGTACATTTAATGTTTACGACTTATTTTTTGGATCCCTGCTGGAGCAGAACACTAGCTGGACTGGAGTAGAATTGCTTATGTTAAACTGTTGAAGGAACCTACCTCTTCACATACACCACATACTTTGTGTCTATGTAGGTAGGCTTCCCAGAATTCCAGGTACAAGTCATGTTGCCTGAATATTCATAAATGACACAGGTTACCTTGTCAGGAACATCTGGTGGATCTGCAACAAAATGTTATCACTTAGGAGCCACCATATAAACATAAATCTCTTTATAAAGTAGTTAGTTGAAAAACTTCCCATTTTATTTAGGAAACCAGCCCTAACAGCACTCAGTACCTCCCTCATTCCATCCCTACCACCTCACCTTACAACCTACTTTGCTATTAAGCATCTCTACTCTCCTTGGTAATACTTTACTGTATTCTCCATTTCTCTTGGGATATTAATATGATCAAGTTTCTCCCTTCAGAAGAAAAAAACCTTACTCCTTAAATTCTCACTCCTCAGCTACCACTGTATCTCCTTTTCTTAACAGCTGAACTAAGAATCCTATGTTATTCTAGTTTTTTATTTTATCTCCTATTTGCTCTTGAACTCCAGACAATTAAGATTCGGACCACAATTCTACCAAAACTATTATTGATAAGGTCATTAATGACTTTCTAATGAACCAATTCTAAGATATCTGTGCAATCCCCACCGAACTTGACTTGTGCAGCATTTGCTATTTTGGTCACTTTCCCCTTGAAACCTTTGCATTTTGGCTCTTGTGAAAGGATTCCCCAAAGTGTTCTTTCACTCTGGCATACTATTTCCTCTTCTGGCACCTATTTCACTACTCACTTTAAAGTTTGGTGCTCATACATACAATGGAATATTACACATCCTTAAAGAGAAAGGGAATTCTGATACATGCTATAACATTGATGAAAATAGAATGATGGTTGCCAAGACAGTGGGGGAGGGTGAAGGGGGAAAATGAGCATTGTTTAATGGGTTCAGAGTTCCAATTTTGAAGATGAAAAGAAATCTGGAAATGGGTGATGGTGATAGTTGCACAATAGTATGAATGTACTTAAATGCCTCAGAACTGTACATTTAAGAATAAAATATAGCTTTGCGCAGTGGCAGTATAGTAGCCAATGAGGTTTATCCGAGGTGCGACTATTGCTAATAGTTGAAATACATGTTTTATGTTATATATATTTTACCACAATAAAAAATGATTAAAAAATTTTGGCATTGGGGCACCTGGGTGGCCTAGTTGGTTAAGTGTCTGGCTCTTGATTTCGGCTCAGGTCATGATCTCAGCGTTGTGAGATCAAGCCCCACATTGGGCTCCGTGCTGCTGAGCATGGAGCCTGCTTAAGATTCTCTTTCCCTTTCCCTCTGCTCCTCCCCCACTCACAGTCTCTCTTAAAAAAATTAATATTCACAGAATTCTATTTCAAGTTTCTCTTTCTCCCTTCCTGCATCCCCTTTAGCTCTTTTTCTCAATGACCATAAATAATGAGAACATTATTTAGTTTTTGTTTGTTAGCATCTTTCCCTTTTGAGAACTGATATCTCCCTCCTTCCCAACCTCATCCCCACTCTATCCCTACCCCAAGGGCTGTCACTCAGGAGGCTTCACTCAGAAGTATATCCTTGACAGAGGCTAACTAATCAGAATATTTCTTTTGGGAATGAACACACAACTCAAAAATGAACCAACCAGAATTTTCCAAGGGATTTTTCGGGAGCCATTGTAAACAAGGTACTTTCTTCTCCCCTGAAACAGCTGTCTCTGACTAACATGTGAGCCATTAACTGCTAGTGGGCATATTGCATTTAAGAATGAAGACAACACGGGGTGGGGGGCATATATCCCAAAAGATGGGAAAAGATGGGAGTTCTGATGACATTTTTGGAGCCCTTGTGATCTCTGAAGTCTATGAAACACCGAAACTATAGAATGACATCTAAAATTTTCAGTTACATCACCCAATAATAAATGACCAAGATCAAGATAAAAGTATAGAAATATAGAGTGTTTATCATGTCACTTTTCAGGTATGGCTCTCTCAACTTGTCCCTACGTGCACAGCAAATAACAAGAAAAATGGAAGAATGGGGGTTCAAGAAGAATAAAGTGTATACATCTGTGTATGTGAAGTTATACCTAAGATTTATCTTCTTTTTTTTTTTAAAGTAGGTTCCATGCCCAGCATGAAGCCCACCTGGAGCTTGAACTCACTACCCTGAGATCAATACCTGAGCTGAGATCAAGAGTCAGTTGACTAACCAACTGAGCACCCAGGCACTCTTAAAGATTTATCTTAAATACAAACATATTCCTGCACTTCACTTGCAAATCATCCACCAAGAATCTTACTTGTAAAATAAAAATAAATATGTGAAAAATTTTTCTCATTGCAGATTGAAACAGTAATAGATATCGTTTAGACCTATAAAATTGGCAAGGATTTTGAAATATAGTAAACCACAGTGTTACAATGGATTCAGGGAAATCCTCTAATACCCCTGTTGGTGAGAGTACAAACTGGTACAACCCTTATGGAGAACACTTTACATATCACAGTTTTGGGGAGTTTTGCTTTTTGTTTTCATTTTTTAAAGGTTTTATTTATTCATGAGCTACACAGAAAGAGAGGGAGTCAGGGGCAGAGGGAGAGACAGACTTCCTTCAGAGTGGGGAGCTGGATGCAGGACTCGATCCCAGGATTCTGGTTCATGACCTGAGCTGAAGGCAGACACTTAACCGACTGAGCCATCCCAATGCCCTATATATCACAGTTTTTAAAAGCAAGAGCAATATCTTGCAACCCCACAATTTTACACCTAGGAATCCATCTTTAATGAAATGTTCAAAGATATACAAAAATATTTGGCTAAAAGTGTGTGCCTCTTTCTTTTTTTAAGATTTTTTTTAAATTTATTTTAGAGAAACAGAGAGTGTGCGTGGTGGGGAGGGGCAGAGAGAGGGAGAAAGAGAATCTCAAGTAGACTCCCCACTGAACGAGGAGCCCCAAGCCCAGGGCTCGATCTCACAACCCCAAGATCATGACCTGAGCCAAAGCCAAAAGTCGATCACTATCTGACTAAGCTATCTAGGCACTCCAAGTGTGTGCCTCTTAAAATATTGTTTATAGTAATGAATAAATTGGAAACAACCTAATGCCCCAAAATCAGTTAAGTAAACTATCAAACACTCCTAAAATGTATCCAAAAACAAAGTTGCAGGTGATAATCTAGTGTCTGGTCTCTGGAAAGCACTAGAAATATGTTAATTAAGGAAATTCTAGCTATAGGATAAAGTGAAAAATGCATTTTGCAAAATAGCATACTGTAGTGATATAATTTCAAAGAGAGACAGACAGAGAGAGGGAGAGGGGTTGGGGAGGAGGAAAGAGAAGGAGAAAGGGGAAGGAGAGAGAAACTAAAACCTGAAAGATATAGTTAAAATTATTATTATTATTTTTTAAAGATTTTACTTATTCATGAGAGGCACACACACACACACACAGAGAGAGAGAGAGAGAGAGAGAGGCAGAGACACAGGCAGATGGAGAAACAGGCTCCATACCAGGAGCCCGATGTGGGACTTGGTCCAAGGTCCTGGGATCACGCCCTGAGCCAAAGGCAGATGCTCAACTGCTGAGCCACCCAGGTGTCCCATAGCTCAAATTATTAAAGAGGGATTGTTAGTAGTGAGATTATAGGATTATAGAGATGATGGGTGTTTCCTTTTTGCTAGTCTTAATTTTTAAAAACTTCCTATGTTGTATGCAATTTGATTTTACAATTAAAAAAATGATTTCAAGCAAAAAAAAATGATTTCAAGCAGTAAGAACATACTAAAGTATTTTAAAACATTTTGGTAAATTGTAGCATTGAATTATAATGGGAAGAAACTGGACTTCAAATATGTGAAAAGAAAGTTTTATGTGAGTCTTAAAGGAGGTAGGTTAAGAAACATAAATTTAAGTCATTTTGAATATTGATTGAGTTGTGGTCCCTCACTGATTACAATGATTTGTGCTGGAGTTATTTTTCCCCTCTGGTTTTAGACAGAATACCATTGATTTGGCCATAAAAGACATTGGTCAATCTTTTGGGCTATGTTATTCCACAGTATTCTATATAAAGTGAATGCTCAGGGTTATAAATACCTGGTGGTTAGTTAAGTTTGCAAAAGATCAAATAGGTTATATACACAGGTGCAAATAAGCTCAGTATTTGTTAATGTGAAGTTTGTAAAGATGGGAGTGTGATTACGGATATGAGAGTAAGACCGGGCTGTTAATCACATTGCCAATCTATCCACTGTCAAGGATAGAAACTGACCATACAGCCAGGTATCAGGGAATACCCTGAAGTATACACAGATGAGGCTTATGTTTTTGCTTGTTCCTCCTAATCCCATCCCTTGCCCCCATTATTGGAGCACTTACTAATCACAGGCCAGATTTCTTATTAATTTAGAGTCTAACCAAGGATCATTTTCTACTGAGAGTTTCTTGAAGATAGAGTCTGTCTTCTTTGAGTTTCTAGCATTTAACATGTTTTTGGTGCATGGCAAACACTCAGTAAAGTTTATCTCATAATTAGATTGGCTTGATTAATAAAATAATAATGAGGAGAATTTAAAATAACAGAGGCACACAATGCTTCTGGCAATGATCACAGCAATTCCTTCCTCATGGAGAGCATAGGCCAGCCTATTGTGTCGGTAATGATACTAGATAGTAATGTTAAAGACAAATATCCAGGGACTTTTATTGGATAAAAAAAAAATCTGCTTTGTTCACAATAGGTAGAGATCAAAAATGGTTAAAATTTAAGTCAAAGATATTTAAACTTTTAAATAAATGGTTAAGTGGAAACAGACTGCTCCATGTATGGTATATTTTAATTTGGTATTTTTGAATGAATAAAGAAATCTTATTTTACCCCATGATTGGTATGAAACAAACTTCTCATAATATGTGTGCATTCATTCACATGTGAGATTCTAAGAAGTGTTTAAAATGATGGCTAAAAATGGAAATTTAGATAATAATAGTTTATATTTCATAAATTACATATTAAAGTACAGAAGATTTTATATATATTTGGATTTCTTTTCAGGGAAAGCGCTGACTCATTTATTTTCTCTCTCTTTTATGATTTGTTTCCAGTCTAAAAAAAACCACATCATCATTTTATTCAAAACGTTGATATAAGTTAACATAGTAAAGTTCACAGGACAAATATCCTGTGATCAAAGTAACCCAGTGAAAGCAATGTGATTTCTAGAGTACCACAAAAACCCTCAAAAATCTTTTTTTGACCTACTTAAATAGGAAGTTTTGTTTGCTAAGAATGCAGAGCCCAAGAACACATGGGTTCTTGAGTCTAAGAGTTAGAGTAAATTCTTTCCTGGCAGTTACAATTTCACACTCATAACCAGAAACCTAGGTAAGGAGTTACAACTCACAAAGTAAATAAATGGAAAGAGTGATGTTCTTTCTAAGCAGCCAGCAGCAGAAAATCTAAAGTCTTCTATGATATTGTCCCAGAAGGGAGCAAAAGCCATTCTCTGACTCTAAACATGGCCTGGTGGTTGTGTTCATGGGCAGAGGCCCTCAGCCAACACTGGAAGAGCTTTTGGAGATAATTTGTCACTCAAATTGCAACACAAGGAAAGAGGCCATACATCTTTTGCCTCCTCTGGCTTAAATTAAAAACCAATCTTCCATAACTGTGAAAGTTGCTTATTTCCCCTCCAAAGAAATTGTACCTTCTCGTAACCCCCTACCCCTACCCACAAAATATAAATAGTAAAATATTTAAGCACGAACTATTGTTTATGTTTCCTGAGGATGTGGACAAGCTAAGCAGTCCTTAAACATCAGATAAGATACCTGCCTGTGGCTTCATTTCTTATAATTTGGGGCAAGTTTAGTATGTTATTATCAATTTAAGGCATGAGTTTGCCAACTTTATTCCTTCACCCCAAAACTTACTATTTTCCTTCCTCGATTTACCTCTACCACCTGCCATAGCTCTTTTTTCTTTTGAAACTCATGCAAGATCAAGTTCCCTGAATTAAGTAGGACAATGGCCTTATTTAGAAGAAGGAAGCCTCTTGCTTTTCAGGTGTCCATTCTAGGGGCAAGTGGTTACCACCAGGTGGTCTTGCTCTTGCTACATAAGGTCTGGAGATGAGGAAGACTAAGAAATCAAATTTGATTGTTAAGAGGTATAGAGGAAGGGAACATGACAAAGATTCCAACCCCTCTATCTTTCTTCACTGAAATTGGGTCCAGGTGCTCTAGGGAATGAATCTCTGGGTTAAAACAGTGCTGAATTTATTGATCTACTTCTCATAACAGTAGAATCAAGAATTAAGTATATAATTATACAAGTCACCTCATATTACTATAATAACTTACACATCTTCAGAATATCATAAATACAAATTGAATTTAGCAAGTATTTTTAAGATGAATGTGATTAATTTTTTTCATAATAATTACAGTAACAGTGATTCACATTTGGTGCAGTGGGAGTAGGAGCAGGGAACTATATCAGAATCTCCTCATGTTTTATCAAAAGCACGTAATTTTAAGGGTTTGGGAACACTGGCATAGCACTTTAAAGTGTGTCATATGCTTTCAAATAGTTTATTAAAATTTGGTGCTTACTAAAGCTGGTATAACTGGCCTCATTTTATAGACATGGCATCAAGGTTCACACACGTGGTTAACTGGCCCAAGGTCACACAGCTTATAAGAGGTATAGCAGGAACATAATGCTAGTTTTGCAACTATTTTTTCTTCCTAAATCTTAGCCTCAAAACTTCTTGATGGGATCTGCTTCAAGGTTGATGATATCAGTTTTAAAGCGAATAAACAAAAAACATAAGCGTAAAGCAGATGAAAAGAACAACACTTAAAATCTGAGGATGCTGCCCTTTGTGTATGCTGTGTTTGGACAGGCTAGTGTTAAAATTTTAAGAATGCATCAGCAACACTTAAAAATTTTTAGAGATCACAATGAAAATTTGTGTTTCTATCTTCTTTCAAAGAGTCAAAAGATTTAGGAATACAGGATCCTCATAAATGATGCAGCTGGGCAGTGGCTGTCCCCAGTGGATCCAATAGACCAACTATGTGCTTTCTTCTCTGCACACCTCCTACCAGCTTCCTTGATTCCTATCTTCTCAACCTGGCCCCTGGAAGTATTTGAGTTTGTAGTTTCTATATTCAACTAAAATAAGAAGTAAACTATATTAATTTATCTCTATTTCTAGACAGGATTTTAGGCTAGTTAATTGCTAGGTTAGCTTTCATTTGAATTTTGAATGTACCTCAACACTTACATCCAGAAGAAATGTCTTTTCCACATATCAGTGTCTCTTGAAAATATCCAGGACATTCAGCAGTACAGTATATAGAGGCATGTGGCTCCAGAAAGTTGCTATACCAAAGCCGAGCTGTTGTTTTATTAATTCTTGTGATTTGAAATCTTTCTTTGATGCCATTTTTATAAAAATAAAGTTTCCTTGGTTGGCAATTCTTAATTGCTGCTTGGCAATATATAGAGATATTCATACCCATCTTAAAAATTGTGGCTGGTTCTACCCAGATGTGGCCAGAGCAGTTTATATTCGTAATTCCTGGAAACGAATAGATAAAAAATTTTAAATTCCATGTAAACCATTAAAATAAGAGATTCAAAAGATAAGCTGTTGCATTTAAATTTTATTCTTTCCTATTCACTAAATGATTGCCACTAGAAGTTTTAGGACTGTCTTTTAACGGATTTGTTTATTATAATGTACTTTTACCATACTTCCTTTGATGCTTGGCAACATAGTACAAAACTAGAGTTAGCCTTTAAGCTACTCTGTCTAGAGTTCAGATATAATTACTCTCCTGTTTTAGAGAACTGAGACATTATAAGGCTATGCCTTTTTTCAAAAGTAAGATCACAAATAGCACTTGGCACTACAGAATCCAAACCCCATTTTCTAGCTATTCAATCAATCTTTCATTGTTCTATTGTGGATAATGGCTACTTTTATCAGAAAATTATACATTTAGGGGCACCTGGGTGGCTCAATTGATTAAGAGTCTGCCTTTAGCTCCGGTTATGATCTCAGGGTCCCAGAACTGAGCCTCAAGTCAGACTCTCTGCTTAGTGTGGAATTTACTCCTCCCTCTCCCTCTGCCTTTCCCCCCTGCTTGTGCTCTCCCTCCCTCTCTCTCAAATAAATAAAAAAAATCTTAAAATAAATTTATGAGTTTAATGAATGACAAAAATTACTAATTTTTACTAATTACTAATTTTTTACTAATAACAAAAATCACTTAAAATTCATCATTAATTTAATAATACAGGAAAATGTTCAGAATATATTTTGTTAAAAAGCAATTGCAGAACAAGATATTTAATATGGGCTCAATATCAGAAATAAATAGATGAATGGATAAAAGAAATGCCCTAAGATATTAACAATGATAATCTCTGTGGGTTAGACTAATTTTTATTTATTTATTTATTTATTTATTTATTTATTTATTTATTTATTTATTTATTTATAGAGACAGAGAGAGAGAGGCAGAGACACAGGCAGAGGGAGAAGCAAGCAGGCATCATACAGAGAGCCAGCCGTGGGACGCGATACAGGGTCTCCAGGATCATGCCCTGGGCTGCAGGCGGCGCTAAACCGCTGTGCCACCGGGGCTGCCCTAGACTAATTTTTAAATTTTTAATTGCATACTTCTGTTTTTAAAAATTATATGGTTAACAATGTATTACTTTTATAACCCAAAATAATAAAGTCATTTTCAAAAACTCAAATGAGAGTGCAATGGAGTATCAGTTAAATTAAATTCACATCAAGGAAAATTTATTATTGTCTTTTTCTGGAAATACTTGCATTAAAATACCTTAAAATCTTATCAAAATAGTGAAAAAGATAAGTATTTGATTTTAAGAGGTCCTTATCTTTGGACCATAATCTTAAAGAATTAATTCGTTTTGTAATACAAATGTAATTGAATATTTCCATGTACACAATGAACATTTATGTATAAATCATGAATACTTAAATGTTCAAGTAGTGATAAAAATAATTCCATCATTATTAGCAGGAAATTGAAGCCAAAGGCATGAAAAGGAAGTTTTAAGAAAGCACCTGACTGCTTTAAATAAGGTAAAAAATTCAGGTTCCGACAAACTGCATCTCCAGGACCTTTTAAAAAATATGTCAATACTGTCATGGAATTATCATGGGGAGTGTTTGAAAATACATAGGAAATGTTTAAAAATGTCAGAAGACTTCAGATTTAGACAAACGTTGTCTTGGTTTTCAAAAATAAAATAAAGAAGAACCCTAGAAATTTTGAACCACTGAGCTTTACAACATTCAGGAATGAATTAGTAAGTCAGTGATTTCTCAATACCTAAAAAAAAAAAATCAGTAATTGGTGAGGACACAGATTGTGTAAGAATAAGTTATACAAAAATATGTTAACATCTTTTTAAAATAGGGATAGTAGATTGGTCCAAGGGATGTTAATTTTTGTTTTTAATTTCAGCAGAGCTATTGCAAAGGGGGAACATAACATGCTAATAGGAAACTTGGAAAAAATGTAGTGTGCATGATATTGAAACTATTCATAGATTGAACAATATATAAAATAATTTCTAATGGACAGTTTGAGGGTCTCTAATAACATATCAGGGGGGGCTTGACTTATTTCTTTCTCTTTTTTTATGATTTTTTTTATTTATTCATGAGAGACAGATAGAGAGAGAGAGACTGGCAGAGACACAGGCAGAGGGAGAAGCAGCAGGCCCCATGCAGGGAGCCCGGTATGGGACTCGATCCCAGGACTCCAGGATCACGCCCTGGGCTGAAGGCAGCGCTAAACCGCTGAGCCACCCAGGGATCCCCTTGACTTATTTCTCAACCCTATATTATATTAATTACTTGAATACATAAACAGAAATCCTACTTATCATTTGCATATTTTAAGAAGTCAGAAAAAGTTAGCTAGTGTCTTATTTCTTCTAAATCTCCCTGGACAGGGATGCCTGGGTGAGTCAGCAGTTGAGTGTCTGCCTTTGGCTCAAGTCGTGACCCCGGGGTCATGGGATCTGTCCCGCATCAGGCTCCCCTGCATGGAGCCTGCTTCTCCCTCTGCCTTAGTCTGCCTCTCTCTCTCTCTCTGTCTCTCATAAATAAATAAGTAACATCTATTAAAAAAAAATCTCCTTGGATTGCTGTCAATTTGACTCTGGGAGTGTCTGATATCCTGCTGGTGGTTATTCTAGTTCTGATGATAGGGCCACCTCTATATCTCCATTACAACTGTGTTCCAATCTACAGAATCCAGTTTTCCTTTTGTCATCATTCCAAGTAACTTGCATGATTTGCAAAGCATTCCTCAAGGTCTAAAACCCTACCTTGTTGTCGCTTGTCTCCGAGTAAATGAATTTCTACCACCTGCCCAGGACACAAAGCCCCAGTAGAAATTCTCAAATGCCAACAGCTATCCTGCCTGAATTTCTGACGATTCCTCAAAGCTGCTTATGCCTGTATCTGTAATGTAAGTGCCAGATGTTTGTGTGAATTATAAGATGGGAATAATAATAGCACGATTGTTGCACAAGTTGTGAGGAATAAAAGGCTTAGCACAGTGCCTGATACATAGTAACTGTCAACAAACGGTTTGTGGAGTTGAATTAAATTTAAATGTTTGTTGGATTGTCATGTAACAGTTATATAACAGTTCAAAGATAGAACGTGCCAACTCAGAATAATAAGCTTCTTCATAGAAATGTTCATATATGAGTTAGAGATTTGTTCATTAGGGATACTTGAAAAAAGAATCCTGCTGTTAGGAGGGAGGTTGGACTCTTTTATTTCATTCATGCACATAATTTTTATGCACATAATTTTTATGTGCATATAGTTTTTCCCAATCTAATAATATTTGATTCTTCAAAGATTCTAACACAATGCCCTAAAAATAACACTCAAGATTTTTTTAAAAAATAAAGGATAGCAATAGGTACTAAAAATACTATACCTCCATGACACCAGTTGAAGAATATGTAAAGAGCTATTACCACATCCCATTGAATTGTGATCTGATTCATGCCTGAAAGCAGGAAAAAGTTCTATGTTGCCCTCTAGGAAAAAAAATATGAAAAATGTTTAAGTTGTAGTATTTTAATGAAATAACAATAATAAAAAGGCATTACATTTTTTTCTAACAGTTATTATTGCCTTTGATGAGAACATTTCAATAGGAAGAAAAGAAGGAAGGTGGGAAGGAAGGAAAAAAGAGGAAGAAAAGAGAGAACAGAAGGGAGGAGGAAACAGGGCAAAGAAAAGTCAGTGGTGTGTGAGGAAGTATGATAAAATGGTCTTTTATACCCTTCAAAAGTCACTCTGACTTACCTTAGTAGGACATTTTGACCCTTGATAAAATGTACTTTCTTCTGATCTGGTCTCTCTCATCAGAAATTTCTGCTCTAACTCCTGATGATAAATTCCCCCGGCCAGATTTCTGTACCTATGAAGCTCCAAAAATATCAGTCTTTGATGAGTTAAACTTGGGAAAAGCCAAAAATTGCAGAACTTCCAGAAAGAAAGCACCCAAAATGAAGAAAGATGAGGTGAGACAAAGGCATATGTGCTCTCACCAGTTAAACTTAGAAAAAAAAAACAAACAAACCCTTTTCATCTGTAGACAGCTAAAAAAAACACATTATATAAATTCCAAACAATATTGCTATTAGTTTACAACTAGAGTTGCATTATTTAGTTGGTTATTTACATTATTGAATAATTCAGTTACTCAATAATCAACATTATTAAGTCATTTTTAGCTGTTTAATAAGGCCCGAGCCTTTCATATAAAACAACAAAACAAAATCATGACTTGTCATATAGCATAACATATCTGATAACATTTCTAAAAACTGGGGTCCCCATGGCCCCCGTGAATATAGGAATCCCTTTCATAATTTGTTAGCAATATTAGGTCTTCTCTTTATAAATAAGAGGCACAACAAGGCCTAAAATGCTCCTGGTTAGAAGTTAAATACTCCCCCAATAGAATATATGCAATAATTATTATTTAAAGTGACACGATGTCAGACAATATTTTAGATCCAACTTTCATCAGTAACCACTATATGAAATATCACAAGAACTTACAAGAAAAAATAACCTGGCCCAAGTATTTCCAAAAAAAAAATATAGCTGTTTTTGAGTATTTGGGTGATCATTGTCTCTTTACCTCTCAACTTGTTGGAAGCACAAAATTCCTCTTCAGAGTCAGGCTGCTACCTTGTTGCCTGTCATGTCCTCTTTCCCTGCTGCCCGCTTGTCAATAATCACTTTAGATTTTCAGCAACGAGGCAAATGGAAATGTCAGCAAAGCCCTGACCTACATTTCAGATTCTTGAAGAGGAACTCAAAAACTGTCCAATTCAAAATGACTGGCTCTCATGTCACTATTTGGGAAAACCCAGATTACTGAAAGTGAACTGCTTTGTCAGTACTTTTTTTTCTCAGTTTATTTTAAAATGGTCTGTCTCATTCAAGAAGTAGAACATATATATCGACTCTGCCTATCAAAATATAATACCATAATATACAAAACGATAACGCTTAGTTTTAATTTGCAATTAACATTGATGTCTATTATAAACCAATTTCTTAAGACAGTTTAAATGCTACTGCTGACCATTCATTTATTTACCAAGAAATTTTGAGTATCTAATATGTGTCAGGTATTGTTCTGGGCATAAAAGATACAAAGGTGATTACTTACTGAACAGCTCTTTTGCTGTATTGTTTAAAGTGATTTAATTTGCGGATCAGTTGAACTATCACTCAGGCTTTAACAGGATTCTACAAGCAAATAAAAAATTACCAAATATTTGGTACATTTATAGTAGGCATCACCAGGGGCTTTCCCTGGCATACTTTCTCCTCCCACGTCCTCTATTACTTCTACATGAATATCTTTTCACTCCATGTATTCCTTTTTATCATAAATGACAGTTACTTGTTGCAATAAACTTCTTAAAGCCAGAAACTCCATCTGACCTTTTAAATTTTTATATTTTTGGTAACTAGTACATTAGAATAGTCTGGGGAAATATTGGAAATATTTCTATGCTCAGATTTATTCTAGACAATGAAAATTAGAATTTCTGTGAAGTCTGGGCATCGTTATTTTTTAATTCCACGTGGTTATAATGAAGAGTCAGGGTTGAGAACTTTTAGAATATAGGAATAAGAGTGTCTTTGAAGACCACACAGAAGAAAGGACTGTCAACTGGGTTTGAATGATTAATAACAATTTTCAAGGCTGTGAAAGAGACTGTGTGGGAAACATTTCCCATACAAGAACAGAATGTGCAAGTAATAGAGATGTTTTAGGACTGATTAGTTATTTCTCCAGGTTGAAGGGAATAGGGTGTGAGCTGGAAAATTAAGGTCAGTGGCAGAATGTAATCACTGGGCTTTGTATTCCTGCCAAGTAGCTTAAACCTTTGTCTTGAAGTCAGTTAGAGATAGCCAAGATTGGTAAACAAAGAAATAACATAATCAGATTGGACTTTTAAAAGATAATTCTAATTATTGGGTGGAGAATTAAATGAAGATGAAGAGCCCAGTTAAAAGGCTATTAAAACCCCAAAGCTGGGGGCACCTGAATCGCTCAGTTGGTTAAGCATCTGCCTTTAGCTCAGGTCATGATCCCAGGGTCCTGGGGTGAAGTCACACAGCAGGGCTCCCTGCTTCTGCCTGCTTCTCCCTCTGCCTCTGCCTCCCGCTCCCCCTGCTTGTGCTCTCTCTCTTTCTCTGTCAAATAAATAAATAACATCTTTAAGAAAAAAAAAAAAGAAAGAAAATCAAAAGCTCATGAAGGTCCAAAGCAAAGCAGAGGCAGCAAGAACTGAGAGGAAGAAACAAAAGTGAGAGCTATACGGAGGAAGATTAGATAGGCCATTGTGACTAGTCAGGGAATGGCGACCCCTGGAGTTGTGCAGTGAACAATACATGTGTGTGGGAGGGGATAAGAATTCAGGAACATGAAGAGTGACTCTGGTATGGTTTTTGCTGACCCAGTAGATAACAACGTTAATTGAATACACAAAAGGAGGAGTGGTGGGGAAGTGATAAGTTTTGTTCTGGTCATGTTAATTTGGAGGACCTTACAACATGTGCACAAAGAACTGTCTGGAGGGCTGTTATAGGCATGGGTAAACCTGGGAGAGAAGTTTGGGCTGGAGATCTAAATTTGGAAGATTTCAGCATATCAGTAGCATTAAAACTAAGATTAGAATAAGAAAACTGAGAGAGCACATCCAGAATGATAAGGGTAAGAAGTAGATGGTCAGAATCAGGAAATCTTGACCAAAGGACAAGGAAAGATACAAGGAATGTATGGCCAGCATCAAATGATCAGAGATTAAATTTGATAAGAACTAAAAGAAAGTATTGGATTTGACAGTAGTTTTCCTGTAGAACAGTTTCAGAAAAGAAATAGAGATAGAAAGGGGATAAAAAAAAAAAGAAAGAAAGAAAGAAAGAAAGAAGAAAGGGGATTGAAGTGAGTTAGAATAAAAAATAAGAGAACATTGACTAATCTTTCAGGAATCTGGATAATCAAAATGAGATCTTTTATCCATTTCTTTTTTTTTTTGTCTAAATGTTTTTATTTGAAACAAATAGTTGCACCGAGGAAGAGCTTACTTCCCCACTCCAAATTAAAACAGAGTGTAATAGGGGCAAACGTCAGGATAGTTCCAGTACGTGAACATCCTTCTACTCACTGTGGCTGGGGCAACTTTATTCATCAGCAGTCATTCTTACACAAAATATTAACCCCAAAGTACTAATGTCACACAAAAGGAAGTGGTCTTAGTTTCATGTGTAGGGCTGTATGTTCTATAAATGCCAAAAGGTAGGAGAAGCACAAACACAACCCACTCTTTAAAAAAAACTAAATAGTTCAAAGAATTTTCCATCCCCCCCTTATTCCCATAATAAAAAGTAGTGCTGGGTTCTGACACCCAGATTTGGTTTTTATCCTGGCCATTTACAAAGTATTTCCCCATCTGACTTGCATCATTAGGGTTATCGATAAAAGTTCATTCACTTTGAAGAGAGGTGCATCTATTCCTTCCTCCTCTTCTTGCCTTCATGCTCATGTTCCTTGGGGCAGCTGCTGTCTGAGGGTCTTTTAGAGCCACTGTGCTGTTTGGCCTCTTCCAAAAACTTGTCCAAACCAAAAGGATCTTCCTCAAACTGAACTGGTCCTTCTCGGCCTCTTTGCCTACGGTCTGAACCAGAAAACTCCTTATCGGGAACAAATCTGTTGGTCTTTATTCTGGCTTCTAGGTCATCACCATACATGTCCTTGTCCAGATTTTTACTGGGCCTGTAAATATTCTGTACCATATCTTTACCACCTCTCCAGGCTTGATCATAAATGTTGTAAATTTCATCTTCTCCACCCGCAAAACCACTGTCCATACCCTTCGACTGGTTGAAGAGCCTTTGGTCTTACTGAACTTCATTGGACGTCTGCGGATTGGGCACACCAAGAGCAATGACTTCACTGATATCTCGATTTTCATTTCTCTGTAGTTTTTACCTCTTATCAGGAGCTGCCCTGGAAAGATTCCAGTCGTGCTGTCTCTCTTTTCGCCTGTCATGCCGGATTTCATCCCTCTCATGTGCCTCCCCATCCTCTTTTTCCACATGGGTTTTAATCCCAGCTCTTCTCTCTCTAGCTTTCTGGGCCATTTCTCGAAGTTTCTCTTCATGTTTCTCCTTTTCTTTTTGTGCCATCTTTCTCTCTACTTGAGCACGCATTTCTACAGCTTCACAAGCTTTCCGATCAGCAACATAGAGGGCTTCAGCCAGCTTAGCAAAATTCTCATTGATGTGAACTGTCTGCAGGCCTCTTCCATCAGCAGCCAGACGTTTGTCTAATGGAATTGTATACCCCTTTGCATTTTTCCAGTTTGAAATACAAGGAGGAATCTTCCATTCTTGTTGCTCCTTCACAGTCATCTTTCGGCTAGGAGAATGCATGACAGGTGCAGGAGGAGAAGGTGGTCCTCGGGGAATTTTCTTATTAATCTTGAATCTTGGAGGCTCCATTGGATCTTTCTGCATTTCTACCATCTGAATAACTCTCTGTTTAGCTCCAGAGTTGAAAGCTACTCCTTGCTGAGATGGTGTGTATCGAATATACGGAGCAGGAGCCAGTTTATCAGCAGCTCGAACTGACATGGCCGCAGCAACCTTCTGTGATACAGATTTTTCTAAGGCTACTCTTGTCTTTTCTGTTATCTCTTTAATGGCTTCTTCATCAGGTCTTTGCAGATCTGGATCATCTGCATTCATGACTTCCTTGGGAACCAGGTCAGTATACTTGCTATAAATGACGTTGTCTTTTGGCTGTCCTTGCCG